AACTAGAATATTTCGTTGCTGATCCATTTAATTTCTTATTATTATGTTGCTCCAGACATTTGTTAGGGAACTCGAGAGAAGTATAGATCCTAGCTAATTATATTACAAAATACTACCATGGACACATTAACAGTTTTATTGCACAGAAGCAATTTAATAAAAATATTCAGGCGAACGTAAAGAGCATGAGACATTGATAAAACCCACACAAACGCATATCGATGCTTTTTTTCCTCTCCAGAAATAGGAATATTTGGTTCTAATTATTGAGGGCCATCATATTTCTAGCTAGAATCAAGCAATATAAATAGGATTACTGGATAAAAAAGTGTTGCCTCTCATTTTTCACTGATGCCTACCTTAAGCTGGCTTTGTACCACATACAAAACCTATGAGCCTTGGAGTATTTTTTGCACTTTAATATGTACTGTGATGTGTATAACACGAAGACCTGAGTCCACATTTCTTATTACCTTTTATATCTCATATGCTCCACTGATTTATGACAAATGATTTAGTAATTTACACTTAGATATGTCTATAGATAGTTTGACTAAGCTTTACTAGACTTGCTTACCATACTTTGCTCATCCTTATTTTGATTAGGCCCAGCTGGCAATTGATGTCCACAGAAACTCACTGCGTTCTTCTTGGACAGGTTCCCTGTCCAGCTGCAATTCTGTTTCATTGCGTCGATTAGCGCTTTCACATCTTCAACAAGCGGAGCGACAGTCGTCTACTTCTTATAGCTATGAAGCCTTGGCAGTATGTCGCCACCTTCAAACTCGACTTGCTGTTGATTTAGCAGACCTCCGAAAACGAAACCAACAACATTCGCAATTCATTTCAAGGCCTGATTTGCCTACACTAGATCACATAGATTCATTGCCTCTAAGTGTCGATTCCAATCTCGTTATATTACTTCGTCAACTTTGCTCTAAGCGCCATAATGTCCAAAATCGGGGGGTTCATGTTTTTGGTGATTCTGATGCCCTTGCTTTTGCCTCTTCTCAACGACTTTCCGACTGGTCCAATAATGCTCGTCCTGATCCGTCGGTTCGCTTCGAAGCCACTGTTAAAGCTCTCTGTCTACATTCGACGGATCGTCGTTTTGTCTATCGTGCCTTTATCGATGCCTTCCAGGCCCAGCTCAGTGTTAGGCTGACTACCGAGCTGAGCCGGGCTACCACTCAGGATGATCCTGATTCCGCAGCTTCTGATACCAAATCTCTACCCTCTATTCAGTTCTCCGCTGTCACTAACCCCAGTGGTCTAGCGGGTATTCATGTCAGAAAGCAGCGTAAGTTGAATGCTAATTGATCATTTTATTTATCGCTGTCGCTTATTTATGTTTATTAAATTGCACTTTATTCAATAATTAACGGTTATTGTTACTGCCACCATCCTTTCATCAATTCTTAACTATCTCGATAACCTGGCCCTTCAGTTTCTTTCTTAACCTAGCACTAGGTGGATAGAAACTTTTGTCCTTATTTCGGTTTTGTTGCATCACCATAAAAACATGATAATCTGCTTGTTTAAACCATTCTTCCAAGGTCCATTAAGGCAGAGGCATTAAGGTTTGTTAATTTGCCAATTGCATTAATAAAAATACTGGTCAGAATGAACCATTGGCACATCAGAATATTCGGACAGTGCGAATACTAACTGACATCGTAAATTAGTTTCAATTGCC